AAAGATAATGTTGAGACTGAAAAAATTCAGACAGAGGCTGGTGTCCTTTAAGGTTTTCAGATTTTGCTCATTTTGGTCGAATGTTTTGCATTTCACTCAACTGTTGTGCAATGCAAAATGTGCTTTCGTGGCAGAACAGAAGTGTTTCTGTACAAATTTCAGTTCAAGAAAGATTTAACTCTTGGTGTAATGTTTTGTCCCTCAGGTACAGATTTAATCTAACAAGAAAAGAAAAACGTCTTATTTTAACCCACCGCTCTTTCTTAGCATTCCATGATGCGTGGATGCCATTAAGTCACCAAAATTAGTCATCGGAAAGGTTTTGGACTTACAGAATCAAACTTATTTGTTAGCCTTCTGGAACTGCAGGAAGCACACACTGTTAGGACTACTCTGTGCTTTAAATATTTACAACACTTGACAAGGGTTGCATGCTAATTTAAACCATTTAGGGCTTATTTACCAAAGTATGCGTGGAGACTTTTGTCTCCGAGCAAATACAAAGATGCAAAGTTAAGTGTTACCAGACTATTGCCACCAGAAACATCATTGCAGCTCCTTTAAAAATTCTTTCTGCCCAAATGTTTCCAGAACCTATTACACAACCACGTCTTCATGGGTAAGAAATAAGCCCTATCAAGTGTTCCCAGTGACATCATTCCAAAGCCTGTGGGATTAAGTTAGCACCACAGTGACTGAGTGCATTCCTTCAAGAATTCCATTATTCCCTTGTGTTTCCAAAATATGGTGCAGGAAATCTACACCTATAAGAAAAGGAATGTTTGTCTATAGGTCATTGTGAGGCAGTTCATAGGTATTTATTTCATTCAATAGATTCTAATATGCTTTGAAAGGTTATCTACTTCCCCACTTAAAGTGCCTTGAAATTTTAAGGCTTTGTTAACACAGATGAGCGAGGTTAATAATCTCTAAGTGATTTTTTTTTCTTTTACGTTTAAATGACACAAGTATAAGACAGGCTTGATTAATACAAGTTTGTCACACTTTATGAAACATGTTTAGCTATGTTTATACGTTTAGGAAATATGGTGATGTTGCTATTTTTTTATAATTCCTAATTGTTAATGACTTGTACTCTTATTGCACCTTTTCAAGCACTAAACATATGTTTATTTCTTCTTCTGAAAGTCAATCCTGACCAATGATTATTCAATAACCTGTGTTAAAAGCGTGAAAGCTGTTTGTTACAGTTGTTAAAAAAATGGGGCTAGTGATCAGAGAGAGTGATGGACTTAATTAATCCACACTTAATTTTTGATGACTAGATATTTTAGTTTATTACGATAGAACTCCTGTATGTTTTTTAATGGGGTGGAAATATTCAGTCATGTTTTAAGTCACAGACATAATGTGGTTAATTTCCCCAAATTTTCAGCTTCTTTGCTTGATTTATTTAGCCCTAGTCTGTCTTTAATCACCTTTAATTCATTTAAAGGAAAGGTAGTCATAAGATACACAGTCAGCTGTTTTTACAGCTGAATAAATATCCCAGTCTCTAGTCGGTTCGGGCATACTGAATATTTGTGTGTAACAGATGTTGGTGACCTGGTTACCTCCGGTATTTCATGTCACGAAACGGAAATAGCAGACATTAAATGAACCAAACCCAAGTTTACTCATCTGTTAAGTGTTAAACCATTAGACCCACCTGGGACAGATGCTTAAGGGTGCTTTTCCTTTTCTTAACACGTTCAAACCATCAAACCAACTGCGACAGTAATCCTTGCACACAAATACTAATAATAAAACTGCAACCATGTTTGGTCAGCATGGAGATGTCTGCTGAGAATTTCTGCATAGCAAAGTGTTTATACTAGGCTGTGTGGAGAGCAGAGCTGAAATAGACTGATGCTGTGGATTCATTGAGAGAAAAGTGAGACATGACTGGAAATAAATGCCAAACAAAACAGAAATATGATGCATATGGATTCAACTTCAAAGAAAATAAAATCATTCAGTCAAGTGAAGAAGTTCACACCTAAACAAGAAAACTGATTATTTATTATTATTACAAAGGGTCTATCCTTAGTTGTCACTCACGCCCTGGAAGCCGACGTTGAATACAGAATACAGTAAAGCAGGACACTGGGAGAAGGAAAGGGGGACCAGACCAAACAACAGAGGAATGCTTTCAGTTCAGTTTGCTGTTGCTCTCTGTTCTCCCACTTGTCTTCCATGGTATGTGTAATTACAGCACAATTAAAGTGCCTCTGCTCGTATCTCAGTGTGAGCGTGGACCTCATAGTGCTCAGTGACCACACTCAGTCGTGTCAACAATGTGGCCTGGATAGAGGCGGGCACTTAGATAGGGTGTGAAGAGAAGTGACAAAACAGACATATTATGCAAAAAACAAAACAAAAAAACATCAGAATTCTCTTTTAGATCCCTCTGGAGAAAACTTCATTCAAGTATTTGTCATTGTTGAAACTAAACCCTTCTCTGTTTTGTTTTCTCTGTTTGGCATATTTAAGATTCTGTCAAATTGCTGATTCTCTTGCCTTGCTCCTCATTTGTCTTTAATTGTTATTAGAAAGCACAAGCATTCAGAGCAGTCTAGTCAATGGCATTCATAGAAATCACTAAGCCTGCAAGGTACAAGCCCACAAACAGGAGCACATACTTGTTAATATAGAGATAACACAGTTTCTAAAGTTAGCATGCATACTTTGATATGTGTACAGTTTAATGGCTAAGTCTGCTTAGTATTTTCCCAGCATTCCTTTGCATTGAGGCTGCTTCTATTTTTGCATCAAAACCAACAATTTATAACCATAAAGATGTATAGATGTTTATTTTTATGGGTGCATATGTTTTATGGGGATTGTGGCAAAAGTTCCACACATATTTAGCCTTTCAGAGTTTACGCCCTAAAGGTGTCACCATTTATGGCTGTTGTGAAATGCCATTCATGTTGAGACACAGCTGGCCCAGAGGGCTCCCTGCCCAAAACCAAGAAATAAACAAAAAGCTGCACAGGATTTTGCCTTAACTTAAATTCATCACCAGGGAAATGTGTTTAAAAAAAAAACACAAAAAAACAAGCTAGACCAAATTGAAAGAATAGTTTTAATTGCATGCATTTTCTTAACGTTTACAGCTACAGTCACTATTAATAGACACTACACCCATTTTTGATTGGTAGGGGTTAAGGTATCAGTACCCCCCAAACCAATGTGAGCTTTATCATGTTTTTTGTTATTATCCATCATCTGAAACAGTCAACACATGTGACATTATTATTTATAATGAAATTTATTATTATTATTATATGTAGAATTTAAGAGAGAAATTAAAAGCTGGAGCCTCTGATGTAATGAACTTGATTCACCGCCCATTAAATGTGGAAACATTCTAGCCTAGTGCATGGGTGTGTGTGTGTAACACAATGCCAAGAAAAGACTCCAACAATCATTTTAGAGAAGTTATTATCGCCACCTATAAATCCGTAAAGACTTATAAACCTATTTACAGCCAATTGAAATTGTCATTGAAAAATTCACAAAGATTATTGATAAATGGAAAACGTCTGAAAAGATCTGCAGGATCTTCCAGGAACGGACGGACTGATATTTCAGCATAAAGTCATGCCACATGATGCACAGAGAAACTATAAAATCTAAGATTCCCCAGTTCTAAGCTGGCTTGTTGTATGATTAGGTTCACCAAAGTAAAATTAGAAAAATGACTGAAAAAGAATGGCTTGTATGAAAAGCTTGTCAGTTGAAAGCATCCTTCCTCAAAAGAAATATAGCTGCAAGGCATGGGTTTTCAAAAATGTATCTGAATGAACCACAAAACTTATACCAAGAACAACTCATTGAGGGATTAGACCAGTAGAGGTATTTGGCAATAATGATCAGCAAAGTCTTCCATGAAAACTTCCAAAAAAGAAAAACAGCAAATAAGACACATCCTAATCACTATGTAGCATAATGGTGGACTAGTTGTGCTTTAGGTTTTATCTTGCTGCTCTGGCATTCCTGCATGTTACTGCAGTTTGCCAAGGTATGAATATAAAATGTCCATTATATGGTTATTTAGCTAGAGGGGTTCAATTTGGAGCAGTTGGTAGCACTGTTGCCTTGCAGCAAGAAGGTCCTGGGTTTGATTTAGATAGATAGATGCACGGATGGACATAAAGATGGATGTTCTAGCTTGAGGGAAACATTTTCATAAAACAATAAAGCGAGTGGCCAGTTTGCACCAGTATGATGTGACTTTACTTAAATGACTGTTGCTGCAAGTGGAAGATTTATTTTTTACAGAGTTGTTTATCTTTTTACTTAACTCTTTGTTGAAGAAAGCATGGTAGGTGGAGGCTCTTGGGGGCTTTGATTCCCTTAAGGCTAGCTAAACATATTTTGAGAATCTTGCATGGACTAATTTGTATTAATACCAAATACAAGAAAAGCTTGTAATTTATTTTATCAAAACCTTAAAATTTTGAATATATAAATTCTCTGCCAATGTGCCTGTTTAATTCATATACCTTAGTTACATTTATGATAGGTAACACAGATAATTTTTTCCTTTTACTATTCTATAATTATTACACCCCGGATAAATGCTAGAGTATACATCAAAATGGAGGATGTGTGTTACAGTTACTTTTCATTGCAGCAATATATGGTGCATTTTGAAAATAGAGAATTTACTTTTCTTTTGGTTTGCTCTCTTCTTGCCATAAGCTTTCTAAAATCCTCTTTGCTGTATTTGAAACACATGGGCTAAAAGATTTGTCTGCAAAAAATATTGAAGAGTTCTGGGAATATCAAAAGGCTTAAAATGTCATTAAACACTGGCATTTTATGTTTAGTCATTTAATTAGAAAGTCTAAATCTCTGCAATCAGCAGAAAAGTTACCAGCAAAAAATATGAAAATCCTACTTAAAATCAATAACGTTGCTTCCCCCTTTGATGCAATGTTATTGAAGCAGTAAACCAAACCATAAGAGCTCCATTCAAACTGGGACATGTGTCATCTCGCTTTGTGTTCCGACTCGGAAAGCAGCAGGTTGTTTAGTTTAATTACAATGTTGGCAAAGTCAGTGAGCTCCACAAAGTCAGAGGTAATGATGTTGACTCCGTCCACCCCTGGTCGTTGAGTCTGAACCCAGGACATTATGATTGGCAGGTTTCTAGATTGACAAAAGAAGAGGGACTGTGTTAAAAAAATAAAAAAAAGGAAAAAATGTTTTCTTTGTCACCTTAATCTAATTTCCTAAAACTTTAAATCATCCTTAAGTTATCTTTCTTTAAAAAGAATCTGTTTCATTGCATGTATGATCCTTCTAAATGTATTTTAAAAGTGCCAAAATGTTTTAAATCAATTTTATAACTGTAAAGAAAACAAATTGAAAAAAGAAAAAGAAAATAAGAGGTAGTGTCTGTCTGTCAGTCTGTAACCTATGACTCCAGCACTCTTGCCTTAGTCACTCCTCTGCATTCCTTCTTTTTTTTTCTTCATTCCTATGAGGCACACACATTCAGAAACACATCTACTGAGGCGGCTGTATCACTTTAAACAGCCAGATACATTTCCCCGTGTGAACCTAACAGAACAAAACCTGGAAGCTTATGTGTTTATCTGCCTGTGGTACACAATCACATTTCCTTAAAAGTGCAAATTTAGACCACCTCCTGTCTCCAACTATTCCATTTTTTATGATAACACTTAATATAACATGCTTTTTTCTATGAAAGGTATGAATGGTATTTTCTCGGGGTTTGGATTTTAGCTGCATTTTTTTAGCCTGAAGCTAAGGCAAGTTGATATAGATCCCTGGGAATTTAGTGCAAACTGTGTAAGGATTTATTAGTTAAATATAGATCTTATCAGATCTACATGTGCAAACGCTTAACTCTGTACATTGCAATGCGAGCAGATAATGCTCTGTATGAGAACAAATAGCTGCTAGTTGATAGCGTTGAATAAGATGGGTTCAGATGACAAAAATAAAATGTCCATGAAGCCTCACTTAAATAATAATCTTATATAGTTTCCAGCCATGACACTAACCTTTCTACCAGGTAATCGCGTAGCCCCCAGACCAAACCCTTGGCCACAGTGTTGACTGTAGGAGTGAGGATGGCCTGGGTGACATGGAAGGATCCCTGTTTCTTTCTTTCTTTTAAAGTAGTTTCCAGGAACTAAGAGAAATTAGCATAAAAGAAAATAGAGATCATGCAGTATCTAATAGAATTATGCATGGATGATTGTGCAAGGTAGAGCTGTAAATGTGTTGATAATCTATTACTAGAGAATCCTCTCCTTTCAGGTTTGTCTACAGCATCTCCTTCTGTTTAGATCTGAACTTTGACCTCTAATTTCTACACATAACCTTGACAGTTACTTAACCATTTCCTGGACAAATCTCTTGTGAGTTCAGGTTGTTTTTTTTCCCGTTGGATTCATTTTCTTTTTTCTACTTACAGACCGATATCCTGACATTTCTTATTTGCTAAAAGACAGTTGTTGTAGCTGCTGCGCAAATCACATTATTTCCTTTAAACTTGAGGACAACAGAGCAAAGTAAGAGTTAGTGTTGTTGTCTTACCTGTATAAGCTTGTTTGGCTCAGTGGTGTTTGCCCAAGGAGCAGGGATTTTATTGCCAGGCCACATGACAGGGATACCTTGTGCTGAAGGATGGTGGTAGAAAACAATAACCTGTGATGAGGCACAGACACCACATGGTGAAAAATGTGTGAAAAAATACTCACTTAAGGGAACATATGATATTTGATAAGATATTTTCAGATTAATATATATTTTTTATAATTTTTATGTAAGAAATCTGTATTTAGTCACAGCTTAAAGAATCCTCTTTATCTCATATTCTACTGTTTAGACATATCTAGAATTTCCTGTTAACAATTTCAAAGAAATCATTTAAAAAAATCTTTTTTTTTAAAAAAAAACATAAGCTGCAAATAATTGTTTTGAATTGGAAAAGCATAAAGAGAAATGTCGCTACCTTCAGGTTCTAACTGCACAGCTCAACCTATATTCTTTCTGTTCTTTTGCTGTCTCCTGCTCTATCACTGATACCTTTGGGACGGAAGTGAGCGAAAGATTAGGGTCATGGGAAGAGGGATGATAGTAGCCTACTTTTATGTGACTGAGCCCTGAACTTTGTTCAGTAGTGTTGTTTCAGATAATGTAAGGATCTATATAAATGGTTACAATCTCTTTGATACGTATATAAAGTAAATGTGTTGAAAATGTGCAGTATAAATAAAATAAAGTACAGAAAATTGTTATTATTTGTTTGAGATGGTAATTCGAAAATGTGTGTATACATTATGCAAAGCAAAGGAGAACTTAAATTAAACAGAGATGAGAAACTCTAATGTTGAAGTCTGAGAAGTGAAAGTCAGACTGCATGGTGGAAAAAGTGTTAATGGGCTGATACCCACTTCTAATTCCTTCTCAAGACTATCAAAGGTAATGAGGATTACCTGACATCCGTTGATCTGTTCACCACACGCACACCAGCATGCCGGTTTTCTTTTACGTGCCATTAGAAAACTTTGCAGTATATACATTTGTGAATGGGCTCTACTTTTTAAACCAATTTTCTGATCTCACCTGGTATTTCTTCTCCCAGAGGTAGTTCAGAGTGATGTTTTCCACTGCACAGTCGCTGCACAGCTTACTGCCAAACACTTCCTGGAGCATTTCGATGAGGTACACGTGGTGCTCTGAATCCATTGCATAGTAATGATTGAAGTCTAAAAACACAACCTTTATCGAAAATATAGTCAGTTAGTCATCTAAACATCTATCTGTGTTTTAAAACATGTTAGAAGTGTTGAAGTGTTTCTCTTACCTCTTTTTTGTGTCTGCATAAGAAGGAGTTAATTTCTAACAGGCCGTCCCTCACCTTTACACACAGATAGGAGACACATTTATAAATAGATGATGCATGAAACAAAAAGTTTTGTTACTTGTGCAAGAATGACAAAAACGCCACAACTTATTTGGTCACAGTTTTAGACCTTTAACACCAAGGGACAAAATTACAACAAGCAATATACAAAACAAAGGAAATGAGGGCATAACCATTTTTTCATGTTAAAATTTAGAAAACATGGCATAAAATATTTTTCTTTTTCATTTAAAAGCTCAAATTTAATAAATACCTCATCAAAATATTTCTGCAAAAAGTACTTTTAAGAAAAATTTGGTTCACACAAACATGCAAAATGCATCTTAATCTAATTTTGATTCGGATTTATTTCTTTGAAATGTAATAAGTTAATCTGAACAGCAGGTCCAAGTTAGGTCAGTAAAGTTTTCATCTAGTGCCGCTTTTTAGATGAAAGTAAATTCATATGCTAGAGAAGGAATGAAAGATTATAACAGATCTGCAAAAGTAACGTTCTGAATGACCCATTATAAACAAGGGATGTTTACAGCCAGCCACGCCTTTTGATCCCTGCGAGACCTTCCAAGACTTTGGTTTTGGAAAAAAAATAATCACTGCTGCACTGAGAAAAACAAAACAAAAGCTAAGATAGAACTTTACAGTAAGTTGAAAAAAATGAGACATTTAGAGAATGTGCGCTGAATTTTACTTTTTTTTTTAAATTACATTTGAAAAAAAAAAGCAAAACCAACCAATAAAATAGCACTTGAAGAAGAAGACCAGAACTGGATTAAAACTAACTACAGGAAAGTGCCAGCATTTGTTTTTCTTCTCTACTCACCTTGTGTCCAAAGAGGCCATGGATGAAATAGATCTCATTTCCAGCTTCACCGGGTTTAGAAGATACTCTGAGGTCAAAGTAACGGATTCCTGCATCTAACTGCTCTCTAAACGTCAGATTCTGGGAATATTGATCACATTGCATATTACCAGTGGCTCCACATCCTTACAGGGATGCAAGTTGCATGCTGTTGGATGCATTTTGAGAGTACTACCTGTGTCATTGACCACTTCACCATGAATTTCTTGGCTAACACACTGAACATGGTGACCAAGTACTTCACATAGGTCTTCTGATCAGGGCCGACAGGTGCATGGACATCCACCCAGAACGTGAAGGAGTCGTGAGAACCTGGAGCAAAGTGTGAGACTCGTTGGTGCTAATGGGACATGTATAGAGGAAGCTTACATTTGTATGGAAACTACGGAGCAGACGAGGCAAAGAAAACCAGTTAAAACGATAAAACTCTGAACAAATGCCGCATTTGGAGGTTTTGAAAATTTTGGATATGTGGGTCATCAGTGCCAGTCTGGATATCATTCACCCCATACACACAACACTGAAACTAAACTCATTCCACCCTGTTGTCGAATGTTTCATCTTTCCATTGAGCATTTTTTTTATCCCTAAGTTCTTCTGCTCACCTGGCACAGCGAGGTACTTCAGAGGCATGGCACTGAGTTTGGAGGGAAGTAAACCCATCCAGTCGGCATTGACGTTGCCAATCCCAGCAGGTCTTGTCCTCATGTCCCTCAGGAGGCTGCCTGCCAATGTCCCAGTCAGGAAACTGCTCTTTGGTGCTGAGGCACCCTATAAAACGCATCACGAAGTGCTCCAAATTCGGAACAATCAAAGCAGGTCATCCTGGATTTTTTACATTTCATTTTAATATCTTAAAAACTAATGAAGAAAACCACTAATTTGGTTGGGACTCCATTCTGACCAGCATTGCCGGGCATCCTTAAGAAGACCGGCAGGGAACTAATGTCCACAGTAATCCTCTTAAGTGAATTTCCACTTGTTACAGCCTCTTCCCCTCCCATGCTGATACTTCTGAGCTTAACCTGGCTCGTATGTGTGCTAGAAGCATCCGTGAGAAACACAGGCACAAAAAAAGGTGCAGGAAGATGAGGACATTTTCCAGGATTTTCAAGTTGTACATGAGCAGAAATGCTGATGTATGAATTGGTTAGATGACTGTGCACAAAGAACTAATCTGATCATATGGATCAGATTATGGTGGCCACAGATTTAATGTAGAATGACACAACCAAGCTCTCATCACCAACTATCTTTTCAAAGCTCTTGGCAGACTATACTGCCTAATTAATGAAAGTCATTGTAGATAGAATAGCTGGTTTCAACTTCTTTCAAAAAAACTTTGACTGCTAAAAAGAATAAAAAA